GCACACTCACCTGCCTGTCAGCCGCACTTCCAGCATGGCCTCGGGGGGCTGGCAGGAGAGAAGAGAGCAGCGTTAGCCTCCGTGCTCCCCACCAGGAGTGGCGGGGGGGCTTGGATGTGCCACCCGGCGTTCCCGGCACTCCTGCGCACCCGCAAACCTGGCACAAGTGCACGCCTGCACACTGAGGCGGGTGAGGCGGGTCCAGACGCCCCCCGCCTCCCGACAGCCCCGTGCTCCTCCCCGTCTGCACTCCGGAGAGGAGCGGGCCTCCGGAGACGGGCCGGGCGTGGAGCCCAAGATGGTAGGAGAGGGCGCCCCAGCCCCAGCTCTGCAGACGGCGCCCAGGAACGCACAGACACGCCTCTTTGAGGTCACTGGGCTTTCTATTCCAAGTATGAAAATTTGCCATGTTTGGCTCGAAATAACTTCCCAAGTCTTCAGTTGAAACTGGAGCTAGAGCGAGCACTCTGCCCGTGGCTCTGCAGCCGGGGCGCGAGGCACATCCGAGGGCCCCTCCTTCCCCGGGATCCGGCTTCCCTGCGGCCACACCTGCAGACTTCTCCTGGGGCCCCCACGCCCCCAGGCGCATCCCACACACATTTCCCCGCTCCTCCATGCCCAGGCCCGGCCCCATCTGGGCTGCGAGCATGCCCTAGCCCGGCAACGTCCCTGCTGTCTTTGCTGCCACCCTCACCCCGCCGGAATCCACCTCCAGCCGGCAGGGACTCATTGCCCTTCGGCTCATCCGCTCTCTGGGGTCTCAGGAAGCCGTACACCCCGCCGGCTGAGGATCCATGGCACAGGGCCGGCATCTCCAACGTGAACGCCTCTCCTCACCCCTCCTCTCCACCTGGGCCCCGTAAGGGCAACTCAGAGGAATAGGACCTGCCTGATTTCCCTGGGGACCCCCTCCAAGCCTCCCGTCCCCAGGGCCAGGGCGCATGTGGGGGTCGCTTCTCCTCAGCCCGCGGTCCAACCCCTGCCAGCTCACGAGACTGGCGTTGCTCTGCCTCAGCCCTGACCTGGAGTCAAACGGCCTTGAGGGTCTCCCTGGGGCTCAGATAGGTCTCCAGAGAAACCAGGCGTGCCTAGCCCGCTGACCCTCCCACACTCGCCCACGTGACTGTCCTCTGCACCCCTCCAGTCCCAGAGCGGCCCTCCCAGCCCTCCACACTCCTGCCCTGCAGAGCGTCTTTCTCTGCAGCGGCTCCTGGGCCTGGACTCGGCCCCAGACAACACAGACCTGCCTCCTGTGCCCTCACTGTCCCCGTGCCCTCACTCTTTGCCCCCATGCCCTCACTCCCCCCGTGCCCTCA